GGTGAGGTGAGAGAGGCAGGGGCAGAGGCTCAGAGTTACCTTGTTGGCCGCTTCCTGGCCCGGCTGGCACACTCATGGTGGCCAGGATGCTCTGCAGGTCGCTGAGCTGGATGGGCTGGGCGGGGCTGGCTGCTGTGCTGGCTCCGTCACCTGAGCTTGGCGCGGGGCTTGGGCTGGTCGCTGAGGCAGCTGCTGGAGCAGAAGGGGCTGGGGTGGCTCGAGTGGAGGAGGTGGTGGAGGACGGGGTGACCGCTGCTGACTGGCTCCGGGAGCTGGGGAGAGCGAGGGAACACTGGAGGGTGACATGCCCACAAAGGTACCACAACACATCCGTCCTGCCCCAGACCTCCTTGTGCTGCCAGATCTCTGGGAGAAGTCTGAACCATGAAAAGGACAGGTGCCTACTCTGTGCTTCAGCATCTCGTATGTCCAGCCTCTGTGAAGGAGGCAACACCTGGTGACACCAGAGAGCCAGGGGTAAGGCTCACCTGGATGAAGAGCTGCTTGCCGGAGGCCCTCCGCTCCCCAGTAAGCTGGCCAGGCCTGGCCCTGTCAGGGCCCCCAGGCCACCTGCAAGGAGCAAGGACACACAGTTCAAAACTCATGCCTGGCCGGAGGCCCCCTCCCCCACCACAGAGCAGACCCACCCAGCACCACAGCCCAGGGACAAGCAGGGGAAGGAGCAGAGAGGGCCTGTCTGCGGGGGCCCAGGGCCAGGACTCCTCAGGCGTGTTCTGGCAGCTTAACACACTAAGTCTATCACTTCTCCATCCCATGACACTACCAATGCACCCAGGCTCAAGGACAGAGTCCAAATTCAGTACAAAGTAACAAGCATTTCCCCAACAGACAGGCCAACCTGGGAGACCAGTGGGCCCCGGCAGGATCCCTGTCGCATGTTCTTAGGCCCTGCTCCTCAGCCAGCTGTGCTCCCCTTTAGTATGAAACTGTGTCCTCCCTGGGGGCCCTGGAAGGCCTTGCCCGCCTGGTGCCAGGTCAAACCCTAAGGCAAACCACACCCCTGCCCAGGGAAGCCAGCACACAGACATGGCTCTGACAGAGCCGATTAGAAGCTGCAGCTGCCTGACTCTTACTAAGAGGCTCCCAAGCCCTCAGCACGTTACCCAGTCCTCCGAGGCCGGCAGGTCCGATGAGCTGCATGAGCTGGCTGTGGCTCATGTTCCCCAGCAGGCTCTGCAGGCCACCCTCCCCTGCAGGACAAAAGGTGCTCAGATCGGGGCTGTGGCGGCCAGGGGCCTCCAGCTGGGTCTGCCCCCACCCCTCCGCCGCCACCAGGGTCCTGGGGGCGGCCCCCATCTCAGCTGCCCCTGAGCTGTGCACTGAGTGTCTCCTGCCAGGAGCCAGCGCAACAGGGCTCACAGACAGGTCACCAACTGAAGACAAGAGCAAGGACCAACTCCGGAACCGCCCCACGGGGCTCCTAACCTGGATCCTCCACCTCCGCTTAGCCACCGGCCCGCACCACCCAGGGTCCACGTCAGCGGAAACCGACTCCAACCTCACAGCACATCCGGGAAGGTGACCATTACCGCCCAGCGCAGACAGCTCGTGGCCTCCGCTCCCACTCGCCCCCAGGGCTCCGGGCATCGGCGGGTTGTTCAGATACTCGTTGACTTTCCGGCAGTGCTCCTCATCCTGGTCTGTCTTGGGCTCCTATGGGGAGGACACAGCAACAGGCGCAGCTGAGCAGCCCACCCATCTTACAGGTGGGGAGACTGACATGCTAGGAGCACTTGGCACACAAATAACCCGATCCTCCAGGATGAGGCTCTTTATGTGACTGACTTAAACCACAAATCCTGGATGTCCCTGATGGTCCAGTGGTTAGGACTTCACCTTCCACTGCAGGGGGTGAGGGTTCAAGACCTAGTCAGGGACCTAAGATCCCACATGCCTCGGGGCCAAAAAACAAAATATAAAACAGGAGCAATATTGTAACAAATTCAATAAAGACTTTAAAAATGGCTGTCAAACTTTTTTTCCATTAATTTTTTATTGAAGGATAATTGCTTTACAGAATTTTGCTGTTTCAAACTTCAAGTCAAAGTTTTTTTAAAAATAAAAAATAAAATAAAACCTCAAATCCTTCAGTGCATGTAATGCTGTAAAATAACCCTGTAATCACACCACTGTCACCAACCAGCCCTGGCCTGCAGCCCTCCAGAGTTAGCTGGGTGCTGACAATGAGCACTTGGGCATGCAGGGGATCATCAGGCAGTATCACCCTGAGGGCACCCTCAGAACTTCGAGTCAGAGCACCCATGACTGGTGCACTGCCACCCAGAGACCCCCAGAGCACACCAAGGGGAAGACACAAGACAGGGTCACCACACAGGGTTCACCCTGGCTTCCGGTCTGGGCTTCTCATGGCCCTGGAGGGGACACTGGGAGACAAGCAAACCCCAGGCAGAGATGGGACCCAGCCCAGAAATCACTCCTGTCAGTGACCCAGGGATTTCCAGCCTCAAAAGGACCCCCAAAGCCAAGCTACACACTCTGGACTCTGGCAGAGTCTGCTACAACATCCCCCTCCCTCACCCTACCCGCCCCTCACAGTGACACTCTTGAATCCTTAGGTTCCATGGCAAGCAGGTTCAGCACCAGCTGATAAGTGAAAGCAAATTCTATCATCAGAACAGCTAATTCTGATAAGCTGGCACTTTTCAAAAATTGTGTTTGAAAATAAAGTAACATAGGTCAATCAAACAACAATATTTTCTGGGTACCTACTACACGCGAGGCATTGAGCCTGGGTCTCCTACATTACAAGCAGATTCTTTAGCGCCTGTGCTACCAGGCAAATCCACTATTTTATACACTGAATAGAATTAGAAAACAGACCTAATACCCGCCTTCGTGGAATACAACTTATATATGAAGGGGTTTTGGGGGGGGGGACTACAAAAACCCCACAGAAACCCAAAGGCCCAATGAGCAAATTTCTAACCTAATTTTATGACAAGATTTTAAGAGAAAAAGTAAACAAAACCTGCATACCTGCATCCAGAAGAAGAGTCGTTTGGACCCTGCCTTAAACTTGAGCACGTAGACCCTCCCGCTGGGGCACTGTGGCACGCGCTTGAACTCACAGTCATCGGGAAAGATGATCAGATCCTAAAGAGAGGCACTGCTGGGCCCCAGGACCTCCAGGAATACAGGCCGGGCCCGGGCCTGGGGTTGTGTGATGGGCTGGGCAGAAGCCCCGGGACACAGAGACCAAGCCCCTCACCAGCAGGGTCTGTGCAGGGCCGACAAACGAGGGTCACAGGCACCCCAGGAAGGTCGTGAGGGCCAGGAGAGGGGCCCGGTACTGAACAGGGAAGGGGGGTTTCTGGCTCCTGGAGGATTTTTAATAGAGACGTTTTGGGAGCAACATTCCAAGATAAGTTAAAAAGTCAGCCCTGACCTGCTCCTGAACTTAACAAAAAAAAGATACTGTATGAATAAAGTGATCGCTAAAGAAAGCTTTCGAGAGGGGCTGTGATCAAGGTCAGGATTTTTACACGATTTCTCCAATTTTAGGCACCTGATCCTCAGAGTTTTACACATGCACCGGGTGACAAGAGGAGATGGACATAACTGTTGAGACTAAAAAGCCCACAAGCAGATCCACGTACCCCACCAACACACTCCAAGGTGTCAACCAGCTGCTTCAAGCCCAGAGCGCGGTGTCCTGCTGTAAAGACACGCTGTCCTGACCACTGGGGGGCGGGGGGAGGGTAGGTATCCTCAAGACAAGGTTCACTCCCAGACACTTACATCCTCCACGTTCCCCGATGTCCTGTCTTTCCAGCAAAAGTGAATGAGGGAGTCATCCGTCTGCTGAATGTACACAAGCCCTTTCCGTTTATCTGGGGTGACGGTAGTTCCTTTTAATGACATTTTTCCAGCCCGAAACTCCACCAAATACTTGTTGGAGGACCCACGGGAGCCTGGCACCAGGCTTGGAAACAGAGCTCCTGAAGTCGTCATCCTAAAAGAAGCACCACCGCGCAGGCCCGGTCACGACCGCGGACACCTTAACGTCCTCCTCGAATGCTGCGCTCGAACAGCAGAAGGAAAGCGCCTCTCGGAGCCGGGCCAGGCCTCAGACGCCCGACACCTGCGGCCGAACTCATTCCGGGGTGGGCCGGCCCACGGGGCCAGGTTCTCAGCTTCTGCTCCCGTTTCTCAAACCCCGAAATTTACCTGTGCATCTAAACCGCATGGCAGCTGGGGACCTTCGCCAACACCACGTTCCGTACATTTTAAATAATCTATTAACCTGCGGCTCCGAAATATTTAAAACCTCGAGCTGGGCAGACAGGCCGCTAACACGCTGGATGGCAGGCCAGACTTTGGCCTAAACCTCGCTTCTACCGGACACACGGCCGGTAAACTGCAGCGCGGCCGGCCCGCTCCCCTCGGAGAGAAAACCCGAGCAAGCACCTGAGAAAACGCGAGTCCGGCGGCCGGCGAGGACTTTGCGCGAGTGAAGACCCGCTCCCAACTGCAGGCCCCACCGCCCGGCGCTCTCGACTGCGGGCGCCGCGGGCCCGGGGCGGCGGCCGGGGTGCCGGAGAGCCCACCACCCCCATAACCGTCCCCGCCCCCGACGACCCCGCACCTGGCCCGCGCCGAGACTCCGCCGAGAGGCGCCGTCCGGGTTCGCTCTTCCTCCTCAGCGCCTGCCGGGCCCCGCCGGAAGACCCCGCTCGCCCCGCCCCGCCCGCCGCTCTCGCCGCTGATTGGGCTACGTCAGGAGCGGGGCGGGCTCTAGTCTGCGGGCGATTGGCGAGGGCCGCCGCCCGTCCCACCAGCAGACCCGCCCCCGCGCCGGCGGCTCTCTTCCGGAGGAAGCGCGGGCCGGCGGCCCGCGGGCCAGAGCGGCCCCTATTGTTGCTGTGTCATAGGGGCCCGGCGGCGGCCCCTGGCGGCAACGCCGGAAACGGCGAAGCGGTTGCAGGCCGAGCGGCGGACGTTGGACCTGGGACCGAGAACGGGGCGAGGGCACCTGCGGGGCGCGGGGCAGGGTGTCTCAGGTGTGCTGACCGTGCGGGACGCCAGGTTCCTAGCCCCGGGGAAGTAGTCGCCGGCTTAGGGGAGGGGATGTCATAGGACGGCGGGGCCGTGCGGTGTCTTCGCGTCCCTGGGCGAAGGTGACTGCAGCGCTGGACTCAGGTGCGTGGACCCAGCGGTGGTTTCCTGGGGGCCCGTGCGACGCACACGCCGCTGCCCTGCGCCCCGAGACCCTGTTGAGAACTACCCTCCATCCTCCCTGTGCCCTGGGGGTCCCCCAGTCCCCCACAACAGTGACGGCGTGACTGTGCCCCCATCCTCCCCAGACCTCCTGTAATCGGCCGACAAACCTGCTCCTTCATTCCTTGTCTGGTGTATGATGTGTGCAGTCAGAACCGAATAAAATCAGCTGTCCTGCGCACACTGGACGAGGGGAACGGAAGCGCTGCCCTCCCATTGCCTTTACTCCCCTTCACTTACACTTTGTAGTTTCTGCAGAGCAGCACACACACCTGGAGCCCATGCTACAGGTGATGTGTGACTTCCTGCTCCAGAGGCAGGGCCATCCTGAACTGTGTGGCCACCTCCATGCCTGCTTGATTTATCATCAATCCAGAGGAATCGGCTTCCCTTATAGCTCAGTTGGTAAAGAATCTGCCTACAATGCAGGAAACCTGGGTTTGATTCCTGGGTCGGGAAGATCCACTGAAGAGGGACAAGCAACCCAGCCCAGTATTCTTGCTTAGAGAATCCCATGGACAGAAGAGCCTGGCAGGCTACAGTCAATGGGGCTGCAAGAGTAGGACACGACTTAACTGGCCCCTTCCACCACCACCACAGAGGAACCTGGTGGGCTACAGACCTCCGTGGGGTCTCTCACAAGAGCTCGCCACCACTTAGCGGCTAAACCACCACCACCATGAACACATCAAATCCATTTTTAAGCTTTTTTTTAAAGGTATAAAAGTGAAAACTATTCTTTTATTCAACATTGTTTTTAAGATGTATTCATGTTGACACATGCAGCTCTAAACATAGTCTATCTTACCTTCTATGTAACATTCTGATGGATAAAACACCACAAGTTCTGTACCCATTGCTTTGTGATCTAATGAGTCTATTTTTTTTTGTTTGTTTGTTTGGAAAAATAGAGCTGGTTTTCATTTTAAAATATTTATGTTGATAAATGTGTTTTTAAATTAATATTTATTTTAAAATTTCTAATATGGTAAATATCCATAGATAAAACCCATGTATGCAAAAGCTCTATGGGGATCCTTGATAGTTTTTGAGAGTCTAAGGAGTTCCCAAGACCAAAGTGATGGTAACAGAGACCTGTGAAGAAATTCGGTGTCCTGTGACTGGGGTCATGACCCCCGCAGCAGTACCATCCTGCAAAAGACAGTAAAAAAACAACCTGGCTTCCTTGAGAAGGGACCAGCAGGTGGGGGTCACTGTCCAAAGTCTTGAGAAGTTCAAAAGCTGCCAGCAGAGACCACAGGGATAGCAACTTTCTAGAACCTGAAGACCCTTCTGGGTAGTGACCTCGGTGGGGCCTCAAATGAGCACTTCCTTGTCCCAAACCAAGGGAGCTTGTGTCCTGGGAGGCTCAAAAGAGAAAGCTTTATACACTTTCACTGGTTTCTGTGAAAACCAGTAAGGAGATGAGCTACTGGTAGATGGCCATCGTGGAGGCAAGTCCATGTGTCCCCCACCCCCCGCCCCAGTATATACTCTGGGAACTGGGCCCCGCAGCAGAAAAAGCAAACCCAGTCCTTCTCCCTGAGCCTCAGCACCTCCCCCAGGCGAAAGGGAAGGGTGCAGTGACTGTGGGCACAGGGAGGGTCGACAAGGAAGCTGAGTGCCCAGACATCTCCTAAGGAGGGTGTACAGATGGCCTGACGTGCAGGAAAGGATGGTGGACAGCATTATTCATAGGGGAAATGCAAATTAAAACACATGGATTAGAATGGCATAAAAAAGGAAAAGCGACAGTACTAAGTGCTGGGGAGTCTTTGGTGCTGGAAATACAAAATGGCCCAGCCACTTAAAAAAAATGTTTGGCAGGTGGCTTTTGTTGTTGTTTTCTTTTTCTTTATTTAATTATAATTTTCTTTTTTAGAGAAATTTCATGTCCACAGCAAAACTGAACAGAAAGTAGAGTTCCCACACACCCCATCCAACAGCCCTGCCACCACCCACATCCCCAACCAGAGCTGTGTGTTTGCTACAATCCATGCTCAAACACTGGAGAAGGAAATGGCAACCCACTCCAGTATTCTTGCCTGGAGAAGCCCATGGACAGAGGAGCCCGGAGGGCTACAATCTATAGGATCGCAAAGTCAGACATAACCGAAGCAAGTTAGCACATGCTCATATGTGGACATATCACGTCACCAAGAGTCCAGAGTTTACATCAGAGTTCACGCTCCGTCTTATACATCCACATGTTCAGACAAATGCTTAGTGACATGTGTCCATCTTCACAGAATCACATAGAGCGTGCTCACTGCCCTGAAAATCTGATATCCTCTCCCCGTCCTTCCCTCCCTCTTGCTTAATTCCTAGCAACCATTGATTTTTTTTCCCCCAGTTTTTTATTATGGTAAAATGACACATAACAGAAAGTTTACCATCCTAATCTCTCTTTAAGTGTAGGGTTCAGTGGTAGTAAGTACATTCAAAATGTTGTGCAGCTATCACCACCATCCATCTTCAACCTTCTCATTTGGGAAAACTGAAACTCCATCTCCATTAAACACTGACTCCCCATCGCCCTCTTCCCCCAACACACCACCATTCTACTTTCTGTCAGCATGAATTTGACTGCTCTCGGCACCTATCAAATTGTACAGTACTTGTCTTTTTTGTGACTGTTTTTTCACTCAGCATAATGTCCTCGGGTTTCATCCATGTTGCAGCAAGTGTCAGAATCCCCTTCCTAAGGCTGAGTAATCTTCCGCTGTAAGTATGTCTACACCACATTTTGCTTATGCGTTCATCAGTGCAGGGATGCTTGGGTTATTTCCACAGCTCAGCTATTGTGAATAATGCTGTTATGAACATGACTTCCCAGGTGGCGCTCATGGTAAAGATCCTGCTTCCCAATGCAGAAGACTTAAGAGACCCTGGTTTGATCCCTGGGTCAGGAAGATCCCCTGAAGAAGGGAATGGCAACCCATTCCCATATTCTTGCCTGGGAAATCCCATGGACAGAGGAGCCTGGCAGGCTGCAGTCCATGCGGTTGCAAAGTGTTGGACACGACTAAAGTGACTAAGCACACACGAACGTGACTGAACAAATATCACTTCAAGGCCCTGCTTTCAGTTCTTTGGGGGTAAATACTCAGAATGGAATTGCTGGATTATATGGTAATTCTATTTTTAAGTTTTTGAGAAACCGCCATACTGTTTGCCACAGTGGCTGTACCATTTTATTCCTACTAACAGTGCACAAATCTTCATGTTTCTCCACATCCTTGCCCAAACTTGTTGTTTCTGGGTTGTTGTTGTTTTTTTTTTTAATATACTGGCCATCCTAATGGGTGTGGTATTTCATTGTAGCTTTGATTTTCATTTCTCCAGTGATTAGTGATGTTGAACATGTTTTCACGTGCTTATTGGCCATCTGTTTATCTTCTTTGGAAAAATGTTTATTCAAGTCCTTGCCTATTTTTGAATCAGCTTTTTTTGTTGTTATTGAGTTTTAGGAGGTCTCTGTATATTCTAGATATTAATCTGTTATCAGATGTTTGATTTGCAAATATTTTCTCCCACTCTTTGGGTTGCCTTTTTACTCTGATGCTAGTGTCTGATGCACAAAATATGTTTAAATTTTCATGAAGTACAACTTGTTTATTTTTCTTCACTTGTTGCCTGTGCCTTTGGTGTTATATCCAAGAAATAATTGCCACATCCAAAGTTGTGAGCTTTGTGTTCTATCTTTTCTTCTAAGAAGTTATTGTTTAGGTTTCACATTTAGACCTTTGATACATTCCAATTTTTGTAAATGGTGTGAGGTAAGGGTCAACTCCATTCTTTTGCATATGACTATCCAGTTTTCCCAGCACCATGTATTGAAAAGACAGTCCTTCCTCCCTTGAACCTTGCCATTAAACTATTTATGTTGATAGTGTTGATGGTTACAAGATGGCATGAATCTGTCAACTGTACACAAGGGTGACTGTCACTGTGTGTCAAGGTTTGAATTCCACTTCCTCCACTTACCTGCTCTGAAGCCTCAGGCAAGCCCATCTTCCTGCACCCCCTCTTCCTCCTCAGTGGGTGGGACTGGGTGGTAATTTGGGGGATTAAGCAGCCAGGACACCAGGCGCAGGCTCTGGCAGGCCTGGGTTCTCTGTGGTCCCCATTGTCAGACATGGTGGCCAGGGTGGGGGCCCCACATCTATCTAATGCCCACCTGGGCATTCCCAGGGCAACAAAGTTGTATGAACAGTCTGTCTCTCTGCCCAGAGCTCTCGTGGCTACTGCATAGCTCACCCTTCTGGAAAGCACACAGCCAGTGGGCACCTAGAGTGGCGGTCGGGCACAGGGACCGCAGAGTCAAGCTGGCTGACATCGTGTTCTGGGTATTTCATTGCTTCTGGCAATGGGCTCCAGTCCCCGGAGAACCCAGACCCCTTCCTCCATCTTGCATGCCTGAGCCCCCTCTTCACTGTAATAAGCAGTTTTCTGAAACAATCTGTTTGCTGGGCCAGTCCTACAGGACTACAGTCCAAACGTCTGTCGCCTGGTCTCCAGGACACATACACAGCCAATTTGCAGTCCTTTCCAGAGAGGCCAGAGCAGCAAACAGTGAAGAAGTGTTCAGTTCAAAACACGTCAGCTGCCGCCCTATGCTACAAGTCTCTACTCAAAACCAGGGTTTAACATCTATCTCCACTGACCTGTCCAGTCCTCCCCCAAATCTGCAAATGACTGATTCCATCTACGTGGACGAACACTGACAGTTACTACATATTATAAAGTTATGACAATAAAGCCACTTCATTACGTGTTTCTTGCCTGACCTTTTCGTGCTGCATGGATAGGATGAACTGTTCCTGCAGTGATGGAGGGAGGACCCTGTCTGTGTGTTGTCACCTTCTGCAGAGACCAGGGAGCCCTTCGCCATGCCTCTGGTCCAGGACAGCCAGTTCAGAGAGGGAGAGGAACAGGGCCTCCAGTCAAGGGCTGACTGTCCAAAAAACTTGTGCCAGGAGATTTTGAAATGGTGTCTTCACTTTGTGAAACCCTCATGCTGAGAACACACAGGATAGTGAAGCCCAAAGGTGACGAGGATTGAGGGAAAGGCTGCCTGATGTCCTGCAGGGGGTTACAGGCCCTTCTGTCAAGGAACCTGATCTTCATGCCCACTTTGGACACAGGAAGGTCCTTCGGAAGATGAAACCAGGCCCTGCAGGAACTTTCTGTTGACTAGACTCTCCTGTGGCGTCGACAGCTCCCCACAGGGCACAAGGCTTCACTGAGCCGCCCCTCCCCTCCTCGCAAGAGGGTCGACAGGATGCGAGGGCTATCCTCGCTTCTGATTTTTGGAAGCTTGCTAGCATTGTAAATGGCAACCCACTCCGGAATTCTTGTCTGAAGAACCCCATGGACAGAGGAGCCTGGTAGGCTCCTGCGTCCATAGGGTCGCAAAGTGTCAGACAGGACTGAAGTGACTTAACATTAGGAGTGTAAATGATGTCTTCTTGGTGGATGCTCGAGGCGAATTTGTTCTCCTCCCAGGAGCAGGTGTCCTGAAAGAAAGCCACCTGCTGCAGCAACCTGAGGGGCTGCCTGGCTGGAAGATTCTGGGCCTTTCTCTCATTCTGTTCTGACTTCCTAGCCACGGGCCTGACAAGGACCCAGCAGCAGATGGCGACGCCTTTGGCTGGACACCTCCACACTCACTGCAACAGGTGGCTGGAAGCATCAGCAAGGGCTGTCCAGACACCCAGAGGCCATCAGCGCTGGGTTGGGTGCTTCTCCCCAGGCGTTAAGCAGGAGGTTCCTTCCAGGAGCCCCAGCATCATCTCTGGGGACAAGGTCTGAAAGGGAGATGCTGCTAAGAACACGGTCAGAGCTGATCCTTGGGGCCCTGCTGGTGCCATTGCCAGCTCCGTTTACTTGGGGAGGCTGTGATGACACCTGGCCATGTGTGGCCAATGCCCTGCGCAGACCTGTGAGCCTATGAAGGAGCAGTGGTCGGCCTGGCACCTTGGTTTTCTCCTCACAGAGCCACCACACTGTGGGGTGGAGGGGCCTGGCCTTCACGGAAGCCTGCAGTGGCCAAACACAGCACTGCCTATGAGGGCTGGGCCCGCTTCTCTGATGCCTTCTTGTGACTAGGGGCCACACCTGGTGAGGAGCCTGCCAGTGCTGGGGCGGCCCTGACCCTTGACCCCACCAGGGAGAGCAGCACCCCACCTGGAGGGGACCAGCCTATGCGGCTCAGGGACACAGACACTGCATTGGCCCCAGCCCCAGATGGCCTGTGAAGTCTGGCCAGCTCCAGTGTGCGTACAGCAGGTCCATCGGCCACCATGTTGCCTGTGTGGCTGGCTCCCCAGTGGCTCTCAGAACCTTTCACTAAATCAACACAGACCTGAACTTTCAGAGGCAGCAGAACCAAAGCTTGAAGGTCTTTTGGTGAAGTGGGTCCTACTTTTCATCCCACAAGGACATTCCAAATTACAAGGTTGCTCTGAAAACCACCCAGGCCCTCCATCCAAGCTACGATCACCCACTGGGGGCCCATGACAAGGCCATGCCCTCCACACACAGTCATGGGGGGGTCGTCTCTTAAAAGCAAATCCCACGGGAACACTCTTTTATTAAAGAGAGACCCCTGACGTCCCAGTGCATCATGGTGGCCAAGCTGAGGGGCAGCTCTGGTGCGTGTTGAAAACTTGTGCTGCCTGCGCTTTGGAGTCCCAGGCCATCCTGCCCATTCTCCTTCTACTTGAATCGGGCTTGAAGGAAGCAGCAATGGGGACTACGCTGTGGGATCTGACCTTGGGGAGGACCCAGGGATGCAGATGAAAGTGTCGGTCACTCAGTCATGTTCAACTCTGTGTGACCCCACAGACTGTGTAGCCTGCCAGGCTCCTCTGTCCATGGGATTCTCCAGGCAAGAATACTGAAGTGGTTGCCATTCTCTTCTCCAGAGGATCCTCCTGACCCAGGGACTGAACCTGGGTCTCCTACATTGCAGGCAGATTCTTTACCGTCTGAGCCTGCAGGGAAGTCCCCAGAGATGCAAACCTTGCAGCAAATTACTGGAGTGGTAAGAAACAGGACAATCTGTGAAAGCTGTCAACTGCCCTAAACACCATTGCTCTAAACGTGTCCGGGTCCCCCAACCTCACATTCCCCAGAAAAGCAGTTTGTTTTAGTTGCCGGCCCCCACCAGGGATACAGGGCTCCCAATGCTAATGACCAGGTGTGTCAGCACCTCCTCTCTGCAAAACTCTGAGACCACACATGCTTGGGGCCTCTGTGTGGTCTGGGGGCCTCTGCATGTTCCAGGGACCTGGCTTGAGTCCCACCAGGCAGATGCCCTGGAACTCGACCGTGGCATCACACCTCCGGTTTCCAAAGCTACAGAATCAAGCCTTCAGAACAAGGGTTCACTTTTAAAAGTGTTTTAATTACAAATGTGGTTTTGAAGCCAGGACACACAATGCCGACACCCTCTTGCTGAGAACCCACACTGTGTACAGCTGCATGTGTGTAGCATGTATGCACTTGTGCATGTGTGCACACGGCAGATTGTCTTCGATTCAAAGAGCTCTGCCACGGCCAGTGGTGTTGGCATCTCTACAGAAAGTAAACAGTCACAGGGTGTAGATGTGTGCGGAGGTGGACACGCACAGAGGTGAGGACACCCCCGAGGCGGGTCACACATGCATGACAGGAACACGAGTGCTGCAGGGACAGGTAGACTGTCGTGCGTGCGGGACTCACTCTGTGTGACGGCATGGCCTGCAGCGAGGGGGAGCCTCAGGGATCAGAGGGCTAGGAGCCATCTGGGAACTACTGGTCAGAGTTTCTGGCCACCCTCGTTGTCATGGTAATGCTTCATTTTGGACAGTGTAAAGTGGTGATTAATGCCTATCTTGCTCTTCAGCAAAGTATTATTCAAGTAGTTTGAACTTAAATATTTTCAAAGTAATCTTTACATTATCGAAGATTGATTAAAAAATACAAACTCTGACAATTTTTCATTTCATTCAATCGGCTGCTTTGAAAACCTCCACTTCCGTGTTACCGTGATCTAAAAAGCAATTCCTGGTCTGTATAAGGCTCCTGGTGGGACTTTTCTCAAGATCCATCTTTTCCTGTTATTGGTTCAGATTTAAAATATTTTTAGAAACACTTTGCCGCTGCATTATGAGGAGGAATATGGACCCTTCCCATTAATTCCTTTATTTATAACTTTTTGTAATGAAGAAGGTACTGTACTCTACGCCAGCCCAGCTCGTCCTGTCACATAAAGGGAACTGTAAAGACTGTTCCTTCTCAAACCTTAATGGAAACATGATGATCCCAAGGGAAGTTTTATGAAGAGGCTGCAACAGTAGTAAAATGTTTGGCAATCAAAAGTTAATTAGAATTAAATCCTCAACCAGGGACGGTGCAATCTCCACGAACAGTCATGAGAAAAGCTGGTTTCTGCCGTGGCGGAAGCTCAGAGCAGCCGCTTGACGGAGTCCAGCCTCTGGGTCTCCGGGTCTGGGGGCCGGTCCGGCCTCTCAGTAGATGTCGGGGCAGCCTGAGAAATCCCGCTCGAAGTAGCCCCCTGCGTACAGCCAGTCGGGGGTCCCAGTGTACGGGTTACTGCCTCGGTGAAACCACCTGTGACACAGAGCGGGTGGTCAGGAGGCCGGTGGCCTTTTCTCCACGTGGGGTCACGGCCCCTCCAGTTAGCGCCGTCACCTGACATGTCCTCTCACATGCAGCCCAGGCTGCAAGCCGCAGTCTCATGGGACACGGGGTAGCTTCGCTCAGCCCCTCCTCACTGCCCCCAGGTGGGTCGGTCTATGCCTCCCCCGCCCCATCCCCGTGGCCGCTGGGTGCCTCACCGCGTCTGCCACTCAGCCTCCTCCCGGGCCCGCTCCCTCCGGGCCTCCCTCTGCTTCTCCTCCAGCCGCTCCTTCTCCTGGCTTGCCAGATCTAGGTGCAAGCACGGGGCAGGTCAGGGACCAGGGCGACGGGCAGAGGTGAGGCTGAGAAAGTGGATGAGGGACACCCCACATCCCCCCCACCCAACACCACCCAGGTGGGAAGCCACACACAGGGAACCATAGGCAGTAAGTGTGCGGGAAACCAGACCCAGACACAAGCCCACAGCCAGGCCCAGGCCCCAGGGCAGCCAGCGCCCCACAGAGGGGCCGTGAGGTAGGACAGGCATGGGGGGGGACCCTCCACACCAGAGACTTTCAAATAACTTCTGAAATGTAACGTTACTGTCTGTTGAACCTAGTAAGAAAATCGGGGACTTGTATAATATTTTGTATATATTCTCTTTCATTTCTTTTTTCTAGTAACTTAATCTTATTTTATTTATAAAAGAAGAGGCCTGCATCAAACTAGAAGCTTTACAACTCTTCCCCACAGACGGTTTGAGAAGCACGTCGAGATGTGATGTGTGTTCAGTTAATGGGGATGCGTTCCTTTCCCGCACCACCCACGTGGCCAGGGCTGGGTGCCCGGTCAGCCCCACATGCGAACACGCACCCATGTTGCCGTTCTCCATGCCTCGGATGTCGGGGCGTAGCCGGCAGTCAGTGGGGGCCAGGATCTTCTCCATGCCTGTCTCCAGTTCGTTGAGACTCACTGTGAAGCTGGTGAAGTTGTACATCTGGGGGGTAGGCACAGAGTCGTTACTATAAACGATACTCTTTTCCGCACTTGCCTGGGTCTCCTCGGGGGCTGATCCTCTCCACCCCCACAGAAGGCACCCAGACTCTCACTGTGACATCTGACCTGCACATCTGTCTCCTCATGCCCCAGGGGTCCGAGAGGAATCTCTATCTCAACCCCTCCGCGGTGGGGTCTGCCGCCTCCTGACACCCAGACCTGGGGGCTTGCCGCCCTCCGGCCCCTTCTGCTCTGGCCCCGAAGCCTATCTCCACAAGTGGCTGGAGGGGCCCCTGGTCCCTCAAATGACCCCATGGTTCCCCACTTCATGTACAGTAAGAGAGGAGATTGGACTCTGGCCGCTCCCCTGCCCGAATGCGGCCCTCTGGCCAATGGCCCGAGCTCCCTAGTCCTTGCCCCATGTACCCGTGTCCCCAGGAGGCCCACCTCCAGCCCATCAGACCGGTCATTCTGCTGTGTGGAGCCGCAGTCCTCACCCATCTGTCCTCAGGCTCTACTCCAAGGGACCTGGACCCACCTACTCCAACCCAGTAAACGTTCACTGAACCAAAGAAATGGGTGTGATTTCTAGTTTTTACTGGTTTTGTGTGTGTGTATGTGTGTGTATGATCTTTAAACAGAAGCTTTTTCTCTATTATTTTATAATTTGTATTCCACTGAAACTGCAGTAATGGCTGTGCTGAGATCATCTATTTATCGCTGAATGTTTGTTTCTTTTATTTTGCACAGGTTGTGGCTTTACTTAAAGGATGTGACAAAAAATTTTTTAAAAATCTATGGTACACTGTATATATAAATAATATAAAATTTATAATATATTAAAATGAATTTTACTATACATTTATCATATAATTATTTTTATATATTAAACATTACTGTATGTAATATAATCATTTTACCATAGGTAACAAAATTATAAGTGCAATTTTCCAATTTTATCATAGGTACCAAAATTACAAGTGCAACTTTCCAAAATAAATATCAAAAATGTATTTAAGGACTTAAATTGACAAGTCAGAAAAACAATCTCTTGCAACCAGTTTGGAAACCCTTGCGGTCAGACACAGCCAGTGTAGACACTGAGAGTTCGCAGTGTAACCGGGTCCTGAGGTGTGTGTGGATGCCTGAGCTGAGTGCTGACAGGTGGGGGTCATAGGGCTCGGAGGACAGGGAGCCCCAGGGGTGACAGGATGGCAGGGGGCCTGCCTAGGGCCGGGCGCACAGACCTGAGCGGAGTTGGGGGGCCGGGTATTGACTCTCCAGAGTAGCTTGCTGCCTGGAATGACCTGCACCGTCTCCTGAGACTCGGGCACAGTGTCCACCACATCGCCATCAGCCTTCTCAGGGCCATCGTCCTGAAAGACACAGCACCCACTGCCCCCGGAGCCCTAGCAGACCCTCCCAAGCCCCCGAGAGGGCAGCAGGCACCACGCTCCTGGTAGGGGAGCCCGTGTGGCCTCCTGAGCCTGACTGGATGGGGTGACACCTCCTCAGGCAGCCGAGGGCGCCCCCAAGTGGTCCTCTCCCCACACGCTGCCCTTCTGCACACGTGGTGACTTCAGGGTGTCTCAGCGTCTCTAGACTAAGCCCTAACTGGGGGGTCACATCTCAATAGAAAACTACAACTGCTACTTCCTTTTCAAAAGCAGTGGGACCTGGAGAAGAAGAGTGGCTTTCAGTTAGCTGAGGGAGATACTTAATTACAACGAGCACAGCCTGGCAGTCTTCCCTGCCTGCGGGCTACACGGTGTGGTGCCAGAAGCTAAGTGAAGACACACAGCAGCGGTTTGCACCCCCATGAAATGCTCCCTCCTTGTGACGTCACCCCGAGCGGCAACACAGCCAAGCAAATGCACTAAACATGTCAGTAAACAGATTTAACATCTGCTGTATGGTCTTCAAATGGAACTTTACTTTTTTTTTTAGTTTAAAGGAGTATTTTTTAGAAAAGATGTCTAATAGCACCTGTGAAATATTACAATATAAAAAACCAACAGGGACGTCCCAGGCAGTCCAGTGGCTAAGACTCTGAGCTTCCCCTATAGGGGGCGCAGGTGTGATCCCTGATCAGGGAACTAAGTTCCCCGACGCCACATGCCTCGTGTCTTGGCCAAAAACAAAACAAGAAACACTAATAAATCTCAGCAGAAGTTGAAGATTCTGTTAAATAGATATTGAACACCTCGGGTTTGGTACATTCTAATTTATCATCTAGAAAAACGTGACACCTCTTTTGAACTACTGCCTCTAGTTTTAGGCTCAAGGAGAATTAGTCTTAAGATAATCAGTATTGGGTTTTATCACCTGGAACTCAGAACTAGAAATGCAGAAAGGACATCCACTTGCTTGTCTACTGGGTCTCAGGTAACAAGGTGCGGGGACAGGAGATGTATCAAGAAATATCCAGAAGGAAATGGAGGCACCCTCTGATCCTTCCAGGTAGGGCGGTGGGTAGAGGCACCCCAGCACCTGGCCGTCCAGAATCAGGCGGACAAGCACCTTCACTCTGAGAGACAGATTCTGTAATCCATCCCCTCCAGCTGGATCACAAAGGCACTGCCTGGCCAGGCCCCCACACCCTCACTGGGGACTCCCCCACAGCAGCCCCATACCGGTTTCGTCTTCCGCAGGGAGTCCCCTCTTCTCTCCTGCTTCCTGAAGGACTCGTATGTGACGGGGTCTATGCCCCACAAGCACTCCGTCCACTTGCCATAGATCATGAAAAGCTTCTTTTTGCTGGAGGGAAAGGGAATTTTTAAAAGCGAGTAACAGTGATCAGCAACCATTCATCCAGACACGCAGCACCCTAACTTGACCCCAAATCAATCCTCATTGTCAGTCTTCTTGTAAACCCCAGGATACTGCTGGTGCAAACATGCAGACGGAAAGTTCCATTTCAGTATCGCCACTCACAGCTTTTAGACTAACTCTTCACACTCCTTTGCCAAAGCAGGGAAGAGAAAACAAGGGTACAAGAACCTGAAGGGCTGCGGGAGGCAGCTGGGGTGAGAACAAGTGTGTAACGTAACACCCTATGAGCCTGACTGTCATTTTTTAAATACACTACATCTTTAAGTACCATGTCTCCTGCAGCCCCTTCTCTATATGTTCTATAAACAACCCTCCCCACATTCAGCTGCCGCTGCCTCTTCAGCTCCATAACCTGGAGTCAGACCCCCATCACTTCCGCCCACAGCCTCCAGAGAGGGCGCTCTGCCTGATTCCCAAGGAACAATGCATGCTGTGCCCTGTTCTCCTTTCCCGCATCTTCCTGGGTGAGCAGGGAGTTGACCATGTGCTCCTGGAAGGCCGTGCTGGCAGCCGAGGGCCATGCTGGGAGGGCACCTGTGCCTCAGAGGTTGGGCTTGGAGGGTGGCAGGCGGAGACACATGGTCGGTGCTCTCTGTCCAATTTGGGATGGAAAACCAGAAACTCGGAGCTGGGCTGGTGCAGGTGGGTGTCCACTGCTGCAGCCCGTGTCTGTAGGCCAGCTGACTGCGTTCTCTCTCTGGGCTGACTCTGCAGGGCTGGTCGATGCCAGCGCTCTGAACAGGACTGCTATCCTGTGAAGCTGCACGCCAAGTCCCAACAGATTTCAAGGGGCGAAGTGGTCAGAGTCCTAAGTCTAAAGGTACTTAAGGGATTTGAACAGGTGAACGTCTGACACCCAACAGAGTGGGATAGACTTTTACCCACTGCTTTACACTAGGAACTATTTCTACCTGAAAATGTACATATTTTAGGAGCTGAAAGGAGTCTTATGGCTGTTATGTGGTCCAAGTTACTTGATGGAAAAAAAAAAGAGAGAGAGAAACTGAGACCCAACACATAGCGTAACTAACTCAAAGCAGGGAAGAATCCCCCAAACTTGTTAAAATACTACTGGTCATTTCTCTGCTCACAGAAACTTGAACAAGTCCCAGATTTCCTGACAGGAACGAAAAAATCATGTGGGAAAGGATGCCCGTAAACGAGTGTCTGGGTTTTGCCTGACAACCATATTGAGCCCAGCAGAGAGAGCGAAACACGAGGTCAGATTCTAAAACCGTGACTTCTGCAGAAGACGCATGTACCAACTGGGCACCTGTGACCCGACCTGCGCAGGGATCTACCTTTTGTCTTGAATGTACCCCTCCACTTTGTGAAGTTCTTTCCCAAACAGTCCACATGGTTTAAAGTGAAGCACGCACTTATCTCCAGTCCTGCAGGGAAGACAAACACAGGCTTCTGCTGTGGATGGGAAATGTCCAGAAAAGGTGAATCGAGGGGGTAGCGAAAGACAGAAGGAGAGAGAGAGGGAGGTAGAGACAGAGAGGGAGAAACCGAGAGTGAGGGGAAGATGGGGAGACAGCAGGGGAGAGGGGGGAGCAAGCGAGAGCTCGTACGGGGGGCTCCCCAGGGCGGGGCGGCGTCAGGACTGCACGGAAGCCCCAGGGACCTCTCGAGGGGACAGAAGCTCCAAGCACTGCCTGGTGCTGATGGTCACACAACTCAGTAGATTTACTAAAAATCATTTACATGTCTATTTAAAGGGTGGATTTTTATGACATGTAAATTATATCTTAAGAAAGCTGTTAAAAAACATAGCAAACCAGCCATGAACTTCCAAGAAGAAGGCCTGACAGACTGGACAGTGGTCACTGTTTTCACCAAGAAGTCACACCATTCTTGAGTGTAGTTTAAAACTTCAAACTAAATCAACCACTGTGACTAAGAACACAGAAATAACAACACGGAGCATTAACGATGACTCTGACCAGTGCCGACCAGAATCAGATCCAACTGCACCACGTGTGGTGCCTCGCGGCCAGTGTGGCCCGTCTGGAAGCCAAGCGCACTGGGGACCAGGGAGGGCCCTGGGGAGCTGAGGCGGCATGAATACACAGCTGAACGCCAGCGGCCGGTGCTCTGGGCGCCCCATCGCCACCCTGACTCGCAGCATCTCAGCATTGGGCCCATTACCTGTGGTTTAAAATCTCCACTGTCCCATACTGCTCTATCCAGAGCTTGCCGATAATCACGTTGTGGACACAGCACGTAGGGTTGGTCCAGGTGTATGCCTCCTTATGTCTGAAATACGCCAGAGAGCAGAGACACTGCGTGACCCCAGAAGCCAAGTCCCAGACAGAATCACACCATAATTGACTGAAAGCTGCAGAAGGGCACAGCACGGCTTTGAACTCCCGAGCAGGGGCTACTTCTTTAGCATTCGTTTGAAATGTCCTTTGTAGTATCAACAAAGCTTTCTATTTAAACGTGGAGACAAGTTAATCAGCAATAAAAGGCTTTGACAAAGGCAAGAGGTTTCCTGTGAAGTTATCAACAGAACAGCCCCCCTACCCATCCCCGCCCTGCCCTGCAGGAACCACGAGGTCCCTAGCGTGCCTGGGCCCTGGCCTTCTGGGGCCAACATGAGGCGGGGTGGGTCCTGGCGTGCAAATGCCTTTCCCATCAGTCAGGCCTCTTGCTCCCTAGCTGGGCTTCCCCCAGGAGAAAAGAAACCTCATAAACGGGCAGAGAGCGGAGGGCTAGATCCATGTCTCAGGGAGGCTGTGTCAGAGCCACAGTTGAGGGCAAAAACCAGGCCAGGGCACGAGGAACATTGAGAACTTCTTGAATGTCCTGGGAACCCAAACAGTTCATTGACCAGGCTTGAAACTCTGCAGCTCCCGGTGCCCCACCCCAGAAAGCCAAGACCAGGTGACCAGGAGGGGCTGTCCTGGTCTGCCCTGAGATGCAGGGGTCTGGGGTGGAGACCACGCTTCTCCGGCCAGGTGGGGCTCACAGGAAACACAAATGACATCCAAAGCTCCCACGGAGCTGCAGGCAACGAGGCCCGTGCTTCAGGGAGTCAGCTGTGCCTCTTGGCCTGGATCGTCCACAACAGGTTTGCAGGGCCAGTGGGCTGCTAGAGACTCAGTTTCTGCCTGGAGGGTCTTTGATCAACGTCAGATTGGGCATGTCTGGATTTAAAGGTATGCAGGCATCCTTGAAGACGGCCTCTCCATTCTCCTCCCCTCCTGGAGTTCAGACCCTTGACCACGGCTGGTCTGTGTGACCACGGCACGTGCACGTAGGCTGCGGTCACTTCTGAGGTCAGGTGATAAAGGACACTTCTATCCTGGGGCACCCCTCCTTGGTCCCTAGCTCTGGGGGGTGCCAGCGTCCGGCTGCACAGGTGTACGGAGCAGGGGGGCGGCAAGTAACCCAGGTCTCCCCCAGTGGCCGGGGAAGGGACTGCAGGAGCAGAGGCTCTGCCTGGTTGTCTTCAGGGGTTCGTCCAGCCCGCAGCCCGGTTGCACCAGCACAGAACCCCAACAGAGCCCCCACATCACCCCCAACAGCACATGAGGACAGGACTATTTCAGGCTCTGAGCTGGGCTGTCACACAGCAGGGGATGACGACCACAACCAGGGACTGAACTGCAGAGACCAGGGGAGAACAAACAGGACCCAACCCAATCCTGTAAGGCGCACACCCCCTGCCCAGGAACCACCGCCCCAACGAGGCCTCCAGGCTCCCTGGAGGAGGGCCTGTGCTGCAAGGCTGCCTGCCTGGCAGAACACCATGGCCCCTGCACCGCACAGCTCCCCACTCACTTGAGCAGCTCCAGTGTGATGGTGCCACGGGGCTCTGCCTCCACGCTCTTCCCCCAGAACTTGAGCTTTGGATAGATGGAGCCATGAAACAGGAAGTCCTGGTGGAGGCCCTCCGAGTAGAACGCACTGATCGGGGGGTGGTGGCTGACCTGCTCAGATATGAACCTGAACCCTAAGTCTTCCCTGGGAGCAAAAATGAGGAAAAGAAAGAAAGGGGCGGGAGAGACACCCAAAGGACCTTGTGATTGACAGCAAAGCCCATAAAGTCGGCCCAACACCCCCGTCCCCAGGGAAGCCCATAGCTCAGTACCTGCATGTGGGGTGGAGGACCCACAGAGCCCCTGACCCCCACATCTGGGAGGGGTGCTGGGATAAGGGGACCACATATGCTGTCACACGTGGCAGAAACATTCTACATGGTTCTCCAGTGTCACACTTGGCCTAATGCTGACCACACACACACACACACTGTGCCTCCGGGGCGATCATCCACACACAGAACAAGCAACTGTGCGGAGAGGCCTCCTGCCCTGACCCACTGCCCACCCCGGTGCTCTTAGGACCGGCGGCTCAGAGGCCTGACAGCAAACTGTCACCGGAGTTCTTGAGGGATGCCCACTGCCCAGGAAACCCAGAGTAGGACTGTCCAGCCTCCTTTCAAGGCTCCCAGGATGTTTGTGATGAAATGTCTTATGCCCCAAGATATTCCTGGCCAGGAACTAGGATTTTTAGTACACTCTCTTTTTCAATAAAAATGTCAGTTTTTAATTGTTCCAGAACTCTGAATACACCTACAGCTGTAGTCATTAAAAATTATAAAAGCTCAACCACATAATTACTAACTTAACTGAAATCAGAATTTCCAATCATTACAGAGGAAAGAAAGTTGAAAAATTAGATTTTAAAAGGTTGCCTACCAAGGTATGTAATTTACAAAATGAATACTTGTCTAAGAACAGAAAGTGTTATTTTTAGTTATCCATGAGCAAGCTCTAGGGACAAAACAATACTGGTGAGTGGCCAGTTTAGTTACATTGCCCAAACAGGAAGATGGCTGTCTCACACGCGTGGCACGCGGCAGACACCGGAAGCGTGACTGGGAAGTTGCGGCCTGACATGAGTGTAGAGAGTGTGTCAGTGTTCCCTACCAGTTTGTGAGGCTAGTTCAGCCCTGAACTATGTTCTGAAACAGACAGACACTGGGCGATCACTACATTCAGCACCTTGGAGGGCTTGCATGCTTTTAATCCCCCTGCTTACTTTCTGTTGTCTGGAACTCTTAATGTACTATTCTTTGATTTATCTTTTCAGATATTTCAATGATGCTCTTAATATGCACAAATGCCAAAAACTATCTAACAGCTACATAAGGGCAGAATCTCGAATACTGGACTAGAGTATGCTGACCAGAGGGAGGAAGCTCTTGCTTAAGAGGAATATCTAAGGAACATCTACACGAATTCCAGATACAAGGGTCCCCCTGAGACTGACCCTCAGGCCAGCCCTCCCCTTACTGGGCTTCAGCTTCCCTGTTTATCCAAGGAGAGGGCTGTGCCTTACAGTCCCTCTGGCTGTGACCTGCCACAGCCCCAGGCCACCTGCTGCACTCCTGTTGTTTACAAGCCCCCTGGCAGCACACAGCATGCCTTCTCCTAACTCATCCAGCTTTCTCGAAGAAAATGAGATGTGCAGAAGGGGTCCTCCAGCACTCAGTGCCAGCCAGCCTCTAAAGCACACTAAAACCCAGGAGGATCCCCACACAGGTCCTGTGCGTGGAAGGGCCACTACTGAGCCATCCAGGATGAGCCAGAAATGGTGGAATCTGAAACTGGCATGAATGCTGCCTCCCAACCTGGGAAGAGATGTATGTGCAGGCTGCCTGCATCACTAAGATGACAACTCCTCCCCGGACGGTCTGAAAGCAGTGCTGACACACACACCTCCGCACACACTATAAACTCTGACACATCTGAGGGCCTGTTCTCAGCCGCCTAGCATCCCCACACCCCAGCATCATCTACTAACCGCTGGAAAGACTCAACCATTAACAACACATATGCAGACAAGGACCCAAGAACTACAACCGTAAGTTTGTGGTTCTTTGAATCCAAGTGTCACACAATACACCACTGTCTTATAAAGATGCTGCAAATTACAGTAGGCCTCGCAGACATGCCCACACACACAAGCACCCAGCAGCCCTATACCCCACCATCCCCTCTCTGTTCCTGAACCTAATCTAAACTACACATTTAGGTTAGGTCCTAAGCCTAAACCACACATCCTGGCCATCCCCTCTCCATTCCTGAACCTAATGCGGTCTTCAGTTTTCAATTCGGTTTCTCACAAGGGTTCTGTTATGTCATTAACACAACACCTCTCTAATGTGAACTATCTTTCCACCTGCAGGAAGCCCCTCAACTCAGTCGCCTGGAGACATCCATACTGCACAAGGACCCTCCTCACCTGTCACCAGAGTCTTGTGCCCGAGACACCACGAGGGCCCTGTCCACTTACCTGATGAGCTCATACGTCTCCCCCAGGAGTGGATTGAAGGGCTTGCCGGTCCTCTCCCACTGGGAAGCCACAGCCGAAACCGCAAAGGCCGCCACAGACTGAAAGCAACCAAAGGCCAGTGAGGGGGTGGTGACCACGAGGACGTGTGAGACGAGAGCTGGGGTGGCGCCCAGACATGCACTCGGGGTGACTTCTCAGTCTCCCGCTGGTAACGCATGTGAAACCACAGAACTTCCGGGGAAATGCTGTTTATCACCCACCGCTTCCTCAAAGCCACAGAAAGTAGGAACTCTGCCGTCTCCCACCCCAGTTGGGGCCTGCCCTGCAGGCTATCACACATGCCTGCACACACACACACATGCATGCACGTGCACACACTCGCATGGGACGGTGGTGCTGAAAGGACCCAAGAGGGGCCAACTGCCAGCCCCACACCCCACTGCAGTCCGCATGCCCAACAGACAGGAGGCCAAGACCCCACCCATGGAGAATGTGCCTGTGGCAAATGCCGAGGCCGTTGGGCAGGACAGCTCCCCAAAGTCAGTGAGCCGCTCCGGCCCTGCTCCCAGACGTCCCACTGCTGAGGGCCTGGGTCCCTGCCCCCACGTGGCCAGACAGATCAAGTCACGTTCTTAACTGTTATGGTCTACACGCAACCAAGCACAGGGCCAGGTGCCCCCCGAAGTGAGCTTGCCACCCACCTGCATCCTTTCCAGGGACTGGGGCTGGCGGGAGGCTCTGTGAATTAGGTACACATGTTCCATGTACTCTGTGATCCGCTGCAGGAAACTCAGGGGCTCATTGAAGGCTATGGGCATCGTGATCTTGGACAGTTCCTAGGAGGAGCCGGAGAGGACCTGCTCCATTAGCAGCAGGCTCTCCCCACACCCGCCCCTGCTCCGAGCACCACTTCTTGGAGTCACAGCCGCCTGCGCCAGACAAGATGGTGGAGGCCCCGCGGGAAGTCTGGCTGGCTGAACTTACCAAGCCAATGCACTTCTTCAATATGCTCCACACACTGAAGTCGCTTCTGGTAAACATCGGGGCAGGCAGAGATGTCCTGCAGAGGAGCAACCAGAGCAACACGTGTGTTTCAACAACGTGAGAGTCACTTACAGTGGATGGCTCTGCTCAGTGGCCCTTGTCTTTCACCTTTTTTAAGCATTAGGGTTTCTCTATGCTGGCTCGCTAGTGGAGGAAAAAAGGACCAGACTGCTGCGGAAGCCCCAGAGAAAGCTTTCTACACCGAATACTGGAGGGGCTCCTGGGAAATGATCACAGCCACATGGACGACCTTCCCCCATGGAGCTGGGGAGTCAGGTCGCCACACCCCCACCCCAGGGCAGCCAGGTGCCAACAGCCAGGAGCAGCTGCAGGACCATGGACAGAGGTCAGACAGGAAGGAGTCCCACTCAGAAAACATCTCAGAAACCAGCTCTTAAACCCCTCTGAAGCCTGTGTTTGTCTTTCCTGAGGTCCTGCGTGGCCACAACATGACAGGCCCTGGCTGTGAGGGGCCACGAGGAGGGTGGGCAGGGCCCAAGAATGGCTCTGCATGTAGACAGGAGTGAGGGCACAAGCTGACGAGATGGAGGAGAAGAGGGGCTGGGGCTGGGGCATGGAGCAGACAGAGCCCTAACGAGGGAAAAGCTGGGGCACCTAGGACCCCATGAGGCTGGGACCTCCGACAATGGGCGGGGCTGCCCCCGGGGAGAGGCACAGGTGCAGGTGTCATCCTTAGAGGAGACCCTTACAGTTCATGGTACAAACTAACACACTGGAGAAAGGGCTGCTGGCACCCTCACTCAGGGCTGTGTGTCTACTGCCTGGGAGCTTTAAGAAGGGGGCAGACCTGTCCAGAAATGGTGGAATCTGGGTGAGAAGCAGGCACAGGAGGTGCCCACAGGAGGCCCAGTGTGGCAGGGACAGGCTGGGACTAGGAGCTGGCAGAGCTGAGGACATCCAAGACACATCTCCAGAGGCCAGCAAGGCAGGCTGGGGGATGGATATGGGAGGAAGAGGAGTGGTACCAGGGCCAGCTTGAGCCAGATTCTGGGGTATGGGAGACGGCGGGGGGCTGATGGCTGAGCCCAGGCCATAAGACCAGGCAGGAGGTGCTCTAGCAGCTCAGGTTCCCGCTGGGTCCAGTGCAGGGCAGAGGCTGGGGTGAAGGTGGGCTCCCTGGGTGGACAGAGGCCACTGCCACCATCCCGGGGGCTCCACATGCTTCTTGTCTGTCCCACCTGAGTCCCTTCTGTTCGCGAACTCGGGTCACTGTCACTGGAGTCTGCTCACGTGAGAACCCAGTGGTGGTTGAGAGAGAATGGAATGTGGTCTCGCTGCACCAAACCACCCTCAGAAACTCTCAGGGTCAGAGGTCAGTGTGTGAAAAGAGAACGCAGGCAGATCTGCATGAAGCCAGCAGGATGGTCTGGTAACAGTGAGGGCAGGCTGTGTGCAAACACCAGGGCACCTTGGAGCTCAATCCCGCAACCCGGAGCAGGCACAGCCGCCCCGTCAGCTTACGGACGGGGCTCAAGTTGAAGAAGCACCATCACTGATCTGCAGGGGCCACCCAGAGGCTGGCTAAACAGGCCCTGGATCTGCCCAGTAACGCTGGACAGGACGTTCTCAGCTCACAACCTGCACCCGCAGCATATCTGGAGCAAGTTGAGTACAGGTGTGCTGGAAGACACTAAGATGTACCCATGGGACAACCTACCTGTGCTTCTGAATCCCATTCTCCTGAGGAGGCCTGTCCCCAACTTTTCCGATCCCATTACTTTTGCTGGTGTCCACATGAATCACGCCAGTGAGTCTCTGATTCGCCTCTGAAAATTCCCCGGAAGAGTTATCAGAGTCAAAGCCTGCATGAGACAAGCAGAGGGTGACATGGCAGGACTTCACCTCTAAGGATTCTCACTGAAAGCAGAAAACCTGAAGCTCTAAAGTGTTTCTAATGGACACAGTCAGAGTAATTAACTCCACTTCACAAGAGCTGCAGACAGAGGTGGAGAACGAGGACTGCTCCCGGGGGCTCCCCAAGGAGGACCCCACCCTGCCACCCACATTGCACGCTCCATGGTCCTTTCCATGTGGGGCAGCCCCAGGGCACTAGGACGGTTTTCCCCTGTGGTCATCAATGACTCATGTCCTCTGGGCTGGTCACACCTAACTCAGGCCACAACATTCTCCTCCTCTGTCCATGTTTGAGGTCAAACTCTGCATCATGTTCTGAAACACATCTGCTGTAGTATTTCTAAGACTAAGCATCACGCCAACGAACCAGCAGAACCTAGCCAACCTATGAACAATAACCCAAACCGTGGATGATGGATGTGAACCCAGAGAGTACACACTACACGGAAAACTTGGAGAAAATGACCCATGAGGACTAATGTGAAACACAGGTAGCTGTCTCCTGGCCTGTCCAGTCCCCGAGGAAGAAGGTCACAACCCTGGGCAGACCTCTGGGTCTTCTCCACCAGGAAGGCTTTTTCCGAAGTGATCAGTGACCAGGGACAAGGGAAGTGTGTTTCCTTTTGCTCCAGGGCAAGCCTGGAGGGAGCTGTGGTTGCCAGGTGAGTCATTCCAGCAGGAGCAGGGGCTCCTGACCGCTGACCCCTAGCAATGAGCCCACGAGGAGCATAGGCTGGGCTCCCATAACAGCCCCTCATTTCTGAGTGGAAAGTGGGGCCCAGCGTTAAAGACCCGGGGCGCTACTGCCACACACAAAACGTAAACCACCTTGCCACTGATAAGCTTCCTTGAGAAAATGCAAAAATACCTTCTTTCACATTTTTCTCTATTGTAGATCCACAAAATGTAGTAGCATTGAAACCAATGACACAATGAATTTGAAACGATATATTAAAAATGATCAATACCTTCTGAAATAACCTGTCACCTCTAGTTTTTGCTAACCATCCCCATAGTGACACCTGCTGATTCCCAGCATAAACGTGGGTCTAAACATAGCCTGAAATGGTCCCAGCTTAGGGATGCTGAGTGCACAGGTATCCCTGTATCCCTCGGGGGTGAGAATCTAGGCCACCATTAAGTAGAAAGTTCGTTTAGATCACAGCCCTGGGGTAGGCCCCAGAAAACAAGGCAGCTTCTCCCTCACAAGTGCCTGAAGTCTTGTCTCTGGTGAAGCCAACACTCTGAAACAGCTTAATCATCTTAATACACAATGTTTCTTTATTACACAAAGAGAAAATACAGACCAGCCAAGGAGCAAGCTGAAAGCATCCATAATCTGATCACTTAGAGATACCTGTCTTTGACAGGTCAGTCTGACTTTTTAAACAGCCCTTCATCGTACATATTCTCATGTGCTTTATTTAAAACCTTTCAATTGAAAGGTATTGATTCTTATAGGGAATAACTGCCCATTGAAGTCATCCATTCAGTAACTGCTGGGTTTAAATATGTTTTAAACTAGAGTCACAAAAGTTAACACCGACTCTAAGACAGGAAAGTACTCACTGGGCATTTCACTGCATTGGGAGACTTCAGATTTTTCATCTTCCTGTTACTTGTTTGGGAACCAAAGGACTGAGGTGAGAAACTGTTTTCACTGAGAAACCTGCTTCCTCTGCCTCCATCTCAGGGACTGTGGAAGGTCCCACCGTGCGGAGAGCCAGGGGTGGAGTCATACACATATGGCACCCCACACAGCTCAGGGCCTCTCTAGGGAAAGCCCTCAGGAGAGCCAGTTACACTGGTCCCAGTAAGAGGGCACCTCCAGGAGGCTCCTGGGTGAGAGGGCCTCACTGAGGTCAGGCTCTTTGGGTTTCAGACGTGCCAGACCTGCCAGAGCCAGGTGGACCAAGGGCATGATTCCCCGACAACCAGCCGCTAGGTGGAATTCAGCTGCTAACAATCACTGATGAGCGGGTGGTTGAGCAGACAATACGCTTCCCAGGAAAACATGTCTACAGAGAACATAATAGCTATGAAATCTCGGGAGATGACTCAGTGGTTCAGCCTTTAAGAACAGCGAACGGAGCACAATGCCAGCTCCTCCTGGGGCTTCGGACGAGAGTAAGTCCATCATCTGGGGCTGCTGGCCCGCAACTGCTCCAGCCCTCCCTCGGGAGAAGTATGGCCAATGAACGCAGGTAGCATGGGGCCAGGGCTCCACCAGGGCTCCAGGTGTCCCGGCGGGGACAGCACAGATGTCTGGGGACAGCGACCACCACCAGGCAAGAGCCTCCTGTCGTGCTGGGCACCACGCTCTCTCCGCACCAACCATGGTAGGGCCCCTCTGACAGCACTGGGGAGATTATCACTGAAGGACCTGGCGGTAGTAACATTTCAGAGCTGCTGTTTCTATGTCCCCACATCCGAGAGCAGGCCATGGACTAGAAGAGTACCCTGAAGTCCGTCTCCACCAATAAGAACCCTCAGCAAGAAAAGCAAAGTGATGCTCCCAGTGCTGATAAGTGGGTGGAGGGCAGCGGGGGCATCTTGAACTTGAGTTTGGGGCCCCCTCAGGAGGTGACAGGAGGAAGAGAGGCTGCTCTAAGCAAATGTGGCCTGACCCAGCCTGGCCTCTCCTGCCCCCCACCCCCTGCCCCCCCAGTCACTCACACACACACAGAACACCCATCCCACCATACACTCCACCCCACTAGCCTGGGTACCAGTGTTCACAATGGTGTTTGAAACGCGAAACAGAACTTTTTTTTTTAGAACTGAACTTTTAACACAGCAAGAGTTGCTGTGGAAGCAGATGATCTACTATTCTTTGGTAGACTTTAAGTGGTACAAAACAAGATATAGTTATAAGACAGGACAGTAAGGTTTTGATCATTATAAACAATATAAGGATGCTGACCAACACATTTAGGAGCCAAATAAAAATATTTACATCCCAGGGCAACCCTTTCAAAGACTGAAACACACAGTTGCCCTTTCATGTTATCTCCTGTGCTCCAAAGTGGATGTTTTCCTCCAAATCTGGGCCAGGACAAGTGCTCTTCCTGGGAACACATCACCTTTCTCTCCGCGTGGCTCTCCCAGGCCATCCTCACGTCCCCAGGCTATGTCTGAGGGCTTCGCACTCATGACCTGGCCTCTGCGCTGGCACCCCCTCTGCTTACCTGTGACGGCATCGAAGAACTCCTCCTCTCCGTTCATCCTTCAGCAGCCAGGCGCCCGCCGCCTGATCCGGAGGGTCCTCTACTCAATCATTGTACTGAATCTACATCGACAGTGTAAGAAATTTCACGCTGTGAACTTTTTAAGGTAAAAATCCAACAGGCACTGGAGACCTACAGGGGAAAAAAATTTTTTTTGGTGTATTTAGCTTTCAGAGGTTGTATAGTTTAGAAACATTTAAAAATGTTTCTATCCATTCACTATCCTTGAGTTCATCTCGATTACATCTGAGCAAAGTAGTAAAAGGAATGACCTCACACAAGAGGAAACAGTCACATCTGTGTCCATCAGAGGGCACCACTATCTGAAGTTACTTTAAAAGCCACTGTCCACAGCTGTATAAGGAGCACTGAAATGACTAATCTGGGGTCACATCGACAGTTGGAAAGGCCAATTAATGAAAGTGAGGTGTCCACACATCAAGGCCCCAACACACCTCTGCCACTGCATATCTTCACCAGAAGCTGGAACAAATGGTTATAAATAATGCAAAGTTCTGTTAAAACATTTATTCCACATTAACCTGAAACCAATTTTCAACTCTGGAGAATTAAGACTGCTGTGTAAGTTTGCTGTCCTCAGCATAAACTGTCATCAACTTAAATTTTCTCAAAATTATTTTAGCTCAATATTTTAGGAGAACTCATGCATATTAACTTCTCCCTTATAAAGCGGTGTTTCATCAATAGCAAGAGACTGTCCCCACAGGTTTGACGTCCTAGGAAAATCAGCAGAGACCCACGGTTCATTCACTGTGTGAGGTGGGCACAGGACAGAGCGCTCCCCTCCAGCTCTGAGAGCAGTTCCAAAGGAACAGATGGTCCCCAGGCCTTGGAGTGGCCACATGGCACCTGGCGTCACCACCAAAGGGTTCATCTCAGGCTCCATCCTGAGCACAGGTGAGCGTCTATGTCATACAACCAACTGGGGTTGGGTTTTCCATCCTTCCTCCGCCCAAGAAGCTCTTTCAGAATTTCCTTTCCTTCCCCACCTTCCTAACCTGCAGGCAGAACCACACCCGGGCAGCTTCAGGAAACACCCATTCAAAGCCTCACTCAGTCATCCATGCTGGTTCTGTTTTCCTTTTGGCAAATTAAAGAAGTTATTGCTCACTTCTGACTCTTCTCTGATGTGACAGGCCCAATCTATAACATCCAGCATCACACTCGGGCTCCAGAGGCCACGAAGAAGAACCAGGGTTCCCTGGAGGAGAAATGGCTGAGTCCAGAAGTGGGGTCCCTCTAGAGGCAGCAGGAAGCTGGCAAGACTACTTGAGTCAGGTCAAAAGGTTCAGACGAACCTGCAGAGGCTCCACTGAGACAGCAGGTTCCTGTGAGCCCTGAGAACAGCCAGAATAGTCACCTCACACATTTAAGTCCCCGGGTTCACCGAAATGCTGAAAAAGAAATCGACTGGTCACTACTGGATGGATGATGACAATACATTCTTCTGAAAACTAGGACGTGCAGGAAAGCACAGGCCTTTGAGTTGCCTTCCTGTACAGGCTCTCTGTCCCACCTTTTAAAGGCGTTCCTGCTAATCCATGAAGGACCAGGATATGTCCATTCTGTGTGCAACCCTGATGAATTCCCATGTCTGAGGCCATTCCATCACAGACCCACATGCGCTACCTGCCTCTTCCGCGGGGGTCCTGCTAAGAGAATGGACCCTCCTCCAACCTTAACTACCAACGTAAGGAACACAGAGAAGACAGGAACATGCCAAACTCCACCAAAGGGACACTGTGGGCAGAATCCAGACCCTGGGCAAGTATACAGGGTGAAATTCAGCTTCTCCAACCAATAAATCACACACACACAAAGTGGCAGGTAAAGGGACACTTCCCTATCTCGAGTGAGATGACAGTTTCATGGGTATAGACAGATGTCAGAACTCATTGTACGCTTTCAATATGTGCAATTTAGGGAACTCCTAGTGGTCCAGTGATTACGACTCCACGCTCGCACAGCTGAGGGTGCAGGTTTGATCCCTGCTGGGGGAACTAAGATCCTGCAAGCTGTGTAGCGGGGCCAAAAATAAACAAATACCTGCAATTTACTGTATGTTAATTATACCCCCTAGTTCAGTTTAGTCACAGTCATGTCCGACTCTTTGTGACCCCATGGACTGCAGCACGCCAGGCCTCCCTGTCCATCACCAGCTCCTGGAGTCTACCCAAACTCAGGTCCATTGAGTCGGTGATACCATCTAACCATCTCATCCTCTGTCATCCCCTTCTCCTCCTGCCTTCAGTCTTTCCCAGAATCAGAGTCTTTTCAAATGAGTCAGCTCTTTGCAGCAGGTGGCCAAAGTATTGGAGTTTCATCTTCAACATCAGTCCCTCCAATGAACACCCAGGACTGATCTCCTTTAGGATGGACTGGCTGGATCTCCTTGCAGTCCAAGGGACTCTCAAGAGTCTTCTCCAACACCACAGTTCAAAAGCATCAATTCTTCGACGCTCAGCTTTCTTTACAGTCCAACTCTCACATCTATACATGACTACTGGAAAAACAATAGCCTTGACTAGACGGACCTTTGTTGACAAAGTAATGTTTCTGTCTCTTAATATGCTGTCTAGGTTGTTCATAACTTTCCTTCCAAGGAGTAAGCATTTCAGAATTTTCCACAGTTTATTGTGATCCACACAGTCAAAGGCTTTGGCATAGTCAATAAAGCAGAAATTGATGTTTTTCTGGAACTCTCTTGGTTCTTCAGTGATCCAGAGGATGTTGGCAATTTGATCTCTGGTTCCTTTGCCTTTCCTGAAACCAGCTTGAACATCTGGAAATTCATGGTTCACATATTGCTGAAGCCTGGTTTGGAGAATTTTGAGCATTACTTTCCTAGCATGTGAGATGAGTGCAATTGTGCAGTAGTTTGAGCATTCTTTGGCATTGCCTTTCTATGGGATTGGAATGAAAACTGACCTTTTCCAGTCCTGTGGCCACTGCTGAGTTTTCCAAATTTGCTGGCATGTTGACTGCAGCACTTTCACAGCATCATGTTTTAAGATTTGAAATAGCTCAGCTGGAATTCCATCACCTCCACCAGCTTTGCTGGTAGTGATGCTTCATAAGGCCCACTTGACTTTGCATTCCAGGATGTCTGGCTCTAGGTGAGTGATCACACCACTCCAGTTATCTGGGTCATTAAGATCTTTTTTGTATAGTTCTTCGGTGTATTCTTGTCACCTCTTCTTAATATCTTCTGCTTCTGTTAGGTCCATACCATTTCTGTCCTTTGTTGAGCCCATCTTTGCATGAAATGTTCCCTTAGTATCTCTGATTTTCTTGAAGAGATCTCTAGTCTTTTCCATTCTATTATTTTCCTTTATTTCTTTGCACTGATCACTGAGGAAGGCTTTCTTATCTCTCCTTGCTATTCTTTGGAGCTCTGCATTCAAATAGGTATATCTTTCCTTTCCTCCTTTGCTCTATGCTTCTCTTCTTTTTACAGCTATCTGTAAGCCCTCCTCAGACAGCCATTTTGATTTTTTGCATTTCTTTTTCTTGGGGATGGTCTTGCTCCCTGCCTCCTGTACAATGTCACGAACCTCTGTCCATAGTTCATCAGGCACTCTGTCTATCAGATCTAGTCCCTTAAATCTATTTCTCACTTCGACTGGAATCATAAGGGATTTGGTTTAGGTCATACCTGAATGGTCTAGTGGTTTTCCCTACTTTCTTCAACTTAAGTCTGAATCTGGCAGTAAGGAATTCACGATCCAAGCCACAGTCAGCTCCCGGTCTTGTTTTTGCTGACTGTAGAGAGCTTCTCTATCTTTGGCTGCAAAGAATATAATCAATCTGATTTCAGTGTTGGCCATCTAGTGATGTCCATGTGTAGAGTTTTCTCTTCTGTTGTTGGAAGAGGGTGTTGCTATGACCAGTGCGTTCTCTTGGCAAAACTCTGTTAGCCTTTGCCCTGCTTCATTCTGTACTCCAAGGCCAAATTTGCCTGTTACTCCAGGTGTTTCTTGACTTCCTACTTTTGCATTCCAGTCCCCTATAATGAAAAGGACATCTTTTTTGGGTGTCAGTTCTAAAAGGTCTTGTAGGTCTTCATAGAACCGTTCAATTTCAGCTTCTTCACACTCCCCCCCAAAAGATACTTAAAGGCACAGATGTCATAACTGCATCTTTTAAACTGCTCTTATCTTTTCAAGCTATGCACTGAAACACATCGGATAGAATAACAGCATGTCTGGGAGTTTCTTCAAAATGACCTGGGGAAAGGCCGGGGTGGTTAAGGGGATGAGATGGGCCAGAAGCTGGTGAACTGCTGGGTATGGAGACAGGCTCACAGGGGACCATGGTGCTGTGCTTCCTGCTTCTCTGTACCTTTAATATCTCCCATAATAGAAGGCATGTTCAAAGCCACGGTATTTTCTTTTTATATGCTTCCTTGCCCATAACAAAAGTTCCAATGTTCAAAGTAAATCAATCAAAACTCATGGAAAGTCTTTAAAATGAAGGTCAGGCTTAAAGTAAGATGTCAGGCTGGACAAACACTGAAGACAGGAGCTGAGCCAACAGCTGGGACCGTGACGTGGCTGCAGCCCTGTGACCCTGCCATGCAGATCTGTGGTCCAACCACCACCAGGTACCCGAGCCCCATGGAGAAGGCTCCACAAGTCCAGGCCAGAAGCCTCGCAGCTGCCTCAGACCTGCACACAACTGCTAGGTACACAGTCAATCCCGCCCAGCGTCCAGGCCATGCCTGGGGGAGTCATCCTAAGAGCCACACACCTTGTATGGTCTTCACTGTGCCAGCAGAAACCAACCACCACTATGGGATCAACATAAGATGCAGTGATCTACCCCTCAGGACAGAGGGCATGCCTGGGAGGGACAGCCCCCAAGGAAGGCCTCTCCTGAGTTTGGGCAGGGGGCCAGGGGCAGGGAGAGTGGGGCCCCAGGGCCATGGGGGCAGGGCATCCTTGGTCCTACCTCGGTTTGGCCGCCTACCTGACCTCTTCTAGGAAGCATTATGGCTGTGGGACCCTCCATACTCAGTCCCCTACTGAGTGGCCTCTGACCCCAAGGTGGTCCTTGCCTCCGACCCAGCCCACACCCATGGAGGGACCCTAAAGCGGGCAGGGAGCAGAAAGCCTCCTCTCCGGTGTGTCTGCTGGGCCTCAGAGAAGACCGGGTTTCAGAAAAAGACTTTCTTTTTTCAAATCAGCTGCTTCCTTTTCTAAGTCCAGAGAAAAACGCAGAAAAGTAAGCTTGTGCTGGACATCTTTGTGGGCCTCCAGGGGCTCCCCCTCTGCAGCCCCTCCTCAAGCCCCACAGTGAGCACTCCCTCCAGGTCCTGTCAAGGGCCAGCAGCCAGGGCGCCCCACTGCTTTCAGGTCCCCACAAGGTGCCTGCCCCTCCACAGAGCCCCTCACCTCTCTTCAAGGTGCCCACCCCCAGAGTGCCACCCCTTGCTCCCAGGACCCGGCTCCAAATGCGGACTGTCCAGCACCACATATATGAATACCCGCACTCAGGTCTTACAAACCCATCTTTACATTTTCTTAGAAAAACAGACCTAGTCACTGAGGAATAAGTGGCTGGCTTAGGGACCTGGTGGTTAATCTCCAAGGTCGACTCACTAAAGAGTCAAACTGTGTATTACTTCTCTGCTCAAAAATGAGCAAGGCAACCTAGATGCAATCTTCACAAAGAAAGAAAACCTCACCAATAATTTGAAAATTCTAAAGCTACTTTTGCAGTTAAATGTCAATTCTGAATTTAAATTGTCCAAAATAATATAAATTTTATTTAGTAATTTAAAAATACATTAGCAAGCATCAACCAGATGGAAGATAAGAAACAGAAGACTTGAACAACACCATCAACCAATTAGATCTAACAGATGTATCCAGAACACTCCACCCAACAACAGGACACACCTTCTCAAGTGCACATGGGACGTTCTCCAGGACAGACCATATGTTAGGCTACAGACTATGTCTCAGTAGATTTTAAATGATCTGTATCATACAAAGCATCTTCTCTGACTATAAAAGAATGAGTTAGAAATCACTAACAGAAGGAAAACTAGAAAATTCACAACATTGTGGAAATTAAGTAACATTTTCTTAGGAATTCCCTGGTGGTCCAGTTGTTAGGACTCAGCTTTCACTCTCAGGAGACTGAGTTCAATCTCTGATCAGGGAACTAAGATCCCACAAGCTGCCCGGTACTGCTAAAACAAAACGAAAAACTATCTTAAACAACCAACAGATCAGAGGAAAAAACTACAAGGGAAAAGTAGGAAATCCTTATAAACAAATGAAAATGAAAACACAACACACCAAAGTTTATGGGACTCAGTGAGAGCAGAGCTAAGTGGAAATTTTATAGCAACCAATATTCACGTTAAAAAATAAGACACCAAATCAATAACCTAACCTCACAACTTAAGGAAGGAGAACAACAAACCAATGCCAAAGCTAGCAGAAGGAAGGAAGTAATAAGCATAGAAAAATAGAGGAAATCAGTGAAACCAAAAGTCAGTTCTTTGAAAAGATCAACAAAATCGATTAATCTTCAGTTAGATGGGCCAATAAAAAAGAATACTTAAAAAACTAAAATCATAAATTGAAATAGGGACATTACTCATTCTACAGAAATAAAACGATTATAAGAAAGGGCTATGAACCCTGCAAAACTGGATAACCTGAATGAAATGACAAATTCCTAGAAACACAAAACGTACTAAGCTCAAATCAAACAGAAAATCTGAGCAAGCCGATCAGCAATCAAAAATCTCCCGATAGAAAAAAAAAAATCTCCCAACAAAGAAAAACCCTGGATCTGACAACTTCACTGGTGAATTCTACAAAACATTTAAAAAAGAACATGAATTCTTCTCAAACTTTCCCCAAAATTAAAAAGAATAGACACTTCCTAACCCCATCTATGCAACCAGGCAAAGACCCTGCAAAAAAAACTACAAACCAATATCCCTTACAAACACAGATGCAAAACTCCTCAACATAATACTAACAGATAGAACACACTGACACACATTTAGCAACATATTAAAGAGGATTACATGTCATGACCAAATGGGATTTACTCCTGGAACA